TGGCTTCATGACTAATAGAGTGTACTCTCTTGGGTCGTCGTTATTTTTTGCAGGATACTTGAGATGGATCTACCTCTCGAACCATACGAGTGGTACCTTGACTTGCGCCGATATGGGACTGTGAAGCACAGTGGATTCGGTTTAGGCTTTGAAAGGATGATTCTTTTCGCCACAGGGATGGAGAACATTAGAGATGTCATTCCTTTCCCTAGGTATCCTGGAAGAGCAGACCTGTAGAATCAATTACGGATATTTATGAATTGATACTTTATAATATTGTTAGGCTTTTGAATTTTTAATTTTACATCCCTTGCAAAATTTCAATGCTGGAAAGGTGATAGTCGATGCTTTTTATTTTATTTTTTTAGCCTATGAAAGTATACAATTTCTAAATTGTGTTTTCCCTTTAGTTGTTTTTTTGAACGCAACAAGGTTCTTATCTTCTATCTGTTCATCAATGTTCATTGGGACATGCTTGGTATGTATTCGAAGAAAGTAGGTATGTTGTGTTTGGTCCTTTAATTGCATCCAATTTTATTTAATTCAATATAATAAACATGTCTGTTGTGATTTCTATAGATTAGACATTAGTTATTTCAGTGCAACATTGGGCATAAACTATCGAACCTCAAATGGCATGAGTCACATGTGTAGAGGCTTGCACATATGGTGTTGAGGGGGATCTGGTGAAAAAATCAAGTGGTGTGCACCCGACTAGAGGGATTGAGAAATTAATAGAGTAAAAAATTTATCTTTAGATTTTACCTTATTCTGATCGTTTAGAGGGTGATCATGTGGTTAACTGCTTTGCCCATTCTGGTGGTAGAACCCCTAATCTCCTATCCACCTTTTATCTGTTGATGATAACATTTTCAACGAATCAACTACGAAGGCTATCAGGGCTGAAGCGCTCCTGTTGCTCTGGGCTCTCACACAGTCACATGAAATTTCTTTGATGGCCCAGTCATTGAATGCCTGTCACAATCCGAAATGTAATTGGCGATAATGACTCGCAATAATGTAAGGAACTAATTGCACCATATTTGAACTCTTAGCAACACTTACTGTTGATGATGTTCATTTAGGCTACATTTTACATTGTTAACTTGTCAATTTGCAACTTGATAAAGCGGACTTTTTTTAGTATTTCTGGTCCCATATGTGAAAGGCCATTCCTACATGGTGAGTTCGATGCAATTAGCTTCTTAATGAGAAAATACATCTTCCATTTGGCCTTTTTCAACAGATTTTTTGTATAAGGTCTTTTTATGATTGATTGATGTGATATTTCTGCTGCAAACACCTTACTATCAACTTGTTAGTATACTTTTCAGAAGTTAGGTCTATGTTATGGGTTGGCTACTTTTCAGAAATATTAAATGCCCCTTTGCCTATGAATGATGTAGTGATTCTTAAGAGAAGATGTCTCAATCATTAGGATGAGAACGTGCGTCTTTTCATCTAATGACAACATTTTTTCCCATTTTACTATAAAAACTCGCATTTTAGTGTCTTTAAAAAATAATGCAATTTTACATACTCGACCATAACATTGCTCTCATTTTTGCTCTCTCATACACCATCCCTCAGTGCCTGAACATTATTTTGGCTAATGTCTTTCGCAAGTTCCACATCCAAATACACCTGTACTTGTAAATAAATGACATCATCCTTGCAGAAATCGAGGTCCACATTGATGTTGATTATTGTGGTTGTTAATTGATTAACTCATAGTTTAGACACCTTGGTGCTTGCTTTGTAATAGTAACAAAAATTATATTATTAGGATATCAGTTTTTACTTTTTGTTCTTTTAATCTTGGCACTTTAGGTGTCAATCTTTTTTATGAAAGTACATTAGGCGTCATTTTAGTATGCTAGTTAGTGCTTGTTATAAAAAATGTATAGGTACTCAATGTTCTTTATTGTGTTTTGTATCGATATATTAAAGAATGATAACTTCGACACTCTATTTTGTCTATTTTCACTCCAATTTTGTAATTCTTGAAACATTATAGTATGAGCAAAACGGAAATTATTTGACAATATAACATCTGCAGTTTGAAAAAAATACCAGAGGTAGGTTTTGGAGAACAAAAACCGTCTTCCTAACATTTCCCATAATCTATAGTAGGCATATACAAAACTCAAAATAACAACAAACAAATACCAACTGGATTTGGTGAAGAACATATTTCACCCATTCTTATCAGCTAAATATTTGAATTTGAATTTTAACACTCCCCCGCAAGTTAGGAACAAGTTGGAATATGAATGTCAGTTGTTCCTAACTTGCATACGAGAGTCTCTTGAAGTTATCATGTCCCAGTGCTTTCTCCCTAACAATATGACAATCCATCTCTATGTGCTTTGTACTTTCATGAAACATTGGATTTGCTTCAATGTGCATTGTGGCTTGATTGTCACAATGCAGAATGGCTGGATCCTTGAATAAATACCTCAACCACATCAACTCACAAGTCATGGTTACCATGGCTCTATATTCGGCTTCTGCTGAGGACCTTGAGAATCTCGATTTTTTCTTGGTCTTCAATGAGACTAGTGCACCTCCAAGAAAAACATAATATCTTGTGACTGATCCTCTATTTGTCGAGCAACTTCCCCAGTCAGCATCGCAATAAGCCATTAAGTGAGGTTTTCTTGGTTCATGCATGAACTAACATAGCAAATTGACAAAAAATTGAATGTCTGGTCTTGTAATGGTCAAATAAATCAGCTTCCCAACTAACCTCCTGTATTGCGATGAATTCCTAAGAGGCTCACCTTCAATAGCAGTCAACTTGAGGTTTTGTTCCATGGGAAAGCTCACTGGAGCTGCTCCGAGTAGGCCCACTTCATCTAACATGTCCAGCACATATCTTTGTGAAATGGTTATTCCCTTCTTCGAGTGTGCAACATCAATACTTGGACAATACTTCAATTTTCTAAGGTCTTTGATCTTAAATTGTATATTGAGATATGTTTGAGGTTGATAATCTCTTCTTCATCGTCTCTTGTTATCACCATGTCGTCTGCACATATAAAAACAATTGTGAAAGACTGGTTGGTGTGCTTTGTAAAAAGCGAGCAATTTGCTAGAGATTGTACAAAACTAGCCTTGCAAATAGCTTTGGAGAATTTAGCATATTAGTATCGTGAGGCCTATGTGAGGCCATAAAAGGACTTGTGTAGTCGCCAAACAGTATTGTGTCTCTCCCTGTCGACTATATCCCGGTGGAGGTAACATAAATATCTCTTCTTGCAGGTCTCCATGTAAAAAGGCATTTTGCACATCTATTTGGTGTAGCGATCATCCACGAGTAGCTGCTATTGAGAGAAGACATTTAACAGTGGTTAGTTTTGCTACTGGTACAAATGTCTCCTTGTAATCAAGACCTTCGACTTGTGTGTACACTTTTGCTACTAAACTTGCATTGTAACATTCTATGGACCCATCTGAATTATATTTGATCTTGTAAACTCATTTACAACCAATCGAATTCTTCCCTGGTGGTAATACTATATAAGACCAGATTTTTTTTGTCCTCCAATGCTTTCTTTTCAAGATCTATTGCACCTCTCCAATTTGGACCTTAGCTTGCCTGAGCGTAAGTGGCAAGTTCTAAAGTGGAAGATAATAAGGCAACAAGAGTTTTGTGAGAGGTGGAGATTTTATCATATGAAACGTAGTTGGATAGAGGATACCTTGTATCTTTACCTGGCCTTGGCTGAGAAGAAACAATTGATGAGGAAGAGGATACAATGGCCTGTGACCACTTGAAAACTTGTAGCCAAACAGAAGGTTTCTTTATTCGTTCTGATCTTCTTAAATTTGGTGGATCAACTATTTCTGCATCATCAAGTGTGGTGGTATCTGGCATTTCTTCTGGGCTTGGTTCAGCTCTTTCATGAACATCAGGTTAAGGTTGAGTGGTTACAAGGTCATGGCTATGTTCAAAAGCTAATGGTAACCCAGATGTTGAAGATTCATGATTTAATTGAGGACTTGAATAGGGGAATATTGTTTCACGGAAGATCACATCTCTATTGGTGAAAAGTTTTGTTGACTCAAGGTCATAAACTTTATAGGCCTTCTGTCCAGTAGGAAATTCAACAAAAATCCATTTATTCTCTTTTATCGAATTTAGGTTGTGTTAAGGGATTTGTTGCAAAACAAAGACACCCAAAAACTTTTAGATTTGTTAAATTTGGTGACTTATTATATACGACTTCAAAAGGTTTTTTTTTGGACAATAGCCGGGTTGGTGTTCGGTTTATCAAGTAAATTGCACGCATGACACTTTCTCCTCAAAATTTTAAAGGTAAATTGGCTTGAAATATGAGAGCTCTGGCAACACTCAGAATATGTCTATGCCTATGTTCCACAATTTCGTTTTGTTGTAGTGTATGCAACTATGTTCAAGCAAGAATCCATTTTCAAGAAAAAATATTTTAAGTATAATTTACGCCATTTCAATGGACTTATAAATTTAAAATTATTATTAAATACAAAATGTATTAATTTATGAAAAGTTTGAGAATAAGAATGACATAAAAAATTGTTAGAAATGTAAGTGCTATAATATGCAAAAATTAGGACCTTTAAGTACAATTTTATTAAAATGTGGTATAAAAAAAAAAAAAATTGTGGTGTGAATATAATTACAATGGCATGAAATTTCGATGCCATTATAGGTCGTGACACGACACTTTTTCTTTTTAATAATCATAAGTGTTCGGAACAACTTACGCTCACATCAACTAACTCTACGGAGTTCTGAAGTTTACAGTCAGATATTCACCTCAATGATTTTGAGAGGACTCAAATTGATGATTATTGTGGAGTAAATTTAAAATCTGACTACTAAATTGCCGTTCAGGGTTGACGTGGCACTCTTATTGGAAAGAATATTTAAAAATGCAATATTCATTTTGTGAGAAATTATAATTCAACTCTGAAGTAAAATACAATCAAATGATTTTATTCTAGCATTTCCCCACGGCCCTACCATCTAAGTCGCTATGTCAACCAAAATTATCAAACAAGAAAACCCATTATTTCTTCTTTCCTTGTACTTTCTCCACATTTTGCCCTAATAGCCACTACCAATTTACCATCATTCAATCCAGTTTCATAACTTGCTTAATCGGAAACCCGATCCTTCAATTGACAGGTACGCTTGTTGTTTGTTTATTTTCGTTATTAATTTTACGACAATTTGTTTATTCTGATAAAAACCTGATCTTCGTTTAGGGGATCATCGTTCAGAAATAAATTTGGTTCCAAGTTTCTTGTAACTGTATATTTTATTTTGTATTTTCGTTTGCTGAGGAATATAAATAGTTGTTATTGAATCAGAATCGAACCCGATCGAAGATGTTTACCCGGATGTTTGGAAAACCTAAGCAAGAGACGAATGCTCTCACTACTCTTGACAAATTAAACGAGGTACAATTTTTCTTATTTTCTTGTTATAAATTTATGCGCTTATGCAAATAAATTAAAAGTTTTAGATTCTTTTACGGTATTGATGTTATTTTCAGTTTTCTAATGTTAGAAATATTGACACAAAGCTGATCAGACTTGTCAGTTGTTGCTTTGAATATGGCTATAGACTATAGTTTTGTTAATCTGCATTCTTCAATTACGAAACAAAGGAAAAGCAAAATAAAATTGAAAAAGAAGAAACTTTTCAGTTCTAAGTTGGCTTTGGCTATGTAAAGTTAGTTTCTTGATGTTATCTGTTGTTGTCAAACTATTTCAGCTTGGGATTATCAGACATTAAGCTATTTGATCCAAGCTGACAATTTGATTTTGGACTTGGATTTATTGGAAACCGCATCAGTAATATTTGCGGATTAGCATGTTATGTTGCATTTCCAAATAATTTCTGGCTTTGTTTCTTTTGTTACTAAGTTACATTTGGTTGTTGATCTCTAATAGATGCTTATTTATTCCTAAAACAGAAATCGTCTATCAATTGTTGTGGAATGGAATCTGCCTGTATGGTTTAAGCGGAGTTTTTCGTTAAAAAATACTGGTATTAGAGAGCAGGATAAATTTACTCTTTATGTGTCGTCCACTCTTGCTACTACACACAAGATGTAATTACGCACAAAATAACATGAAAAGTAGCCCTATGACATGCATAAAGGTTAACACATTTTGGGTTTTTTGTTTTTATTGTAGTCATTTGGAAAATAGACTAGAAAGTGAGAGAGCAGGAAATATAATCAGATGGCAAAACTTGAGAGTGTTATTTGGCATCTGAGTCCAGGTTTTGAAAAATTTTATTAGTTTTGCTACATCGCTAATTTTTATGGAGCAATTATTTCTATATGTGCTTAAGTTCACATCTATTTGTGAACAGGTTTGACTGTAAAGCTTTTGCTTTAAACATTTGAGTTAGTCAGATTTATAACTCGTTCTAGTTTTACCTAGATGTATTGGTTGTTCTCTATCTTTCCGCATATTTTCTTTTTCATTCTTACCCTTGTGCAGACTCTCGAGATGCTTGAGAAGAAGGAAACAGTACTTCAGAAGAAGGCTTATGCTGAGGTCGAGAAGGCCAAGGATTTTACAAAAGCAAAAAACAAAAGAGGTATGATCCATAAATACACGCCTGAAAAAATATAGTAAACCAAAATAAAAAATATAAGTTTGTGTAAGGAGAAACAAACTATAGATGTCCAATTCTAGCATTCTAAAGCTATTGCTAGTAATACTCTAATGTATTTGTACCAAAATGGTATGAACATTTAGAGCGTCTCCAATTGACTCTCTATTTTTAAGGAGTATCTTGTCCATAATTGAGAGCATCTTTAAAGAGTGAAATTTTTTATACATTCCAACAAACTCTTTATTTTTAGCTCTTTATTTTACTTATTTCAATAACCATAATATCATTTTCTCCTTAATTTTCAATTAACACATATTTTTAGATGTCTGACTAAAAAAGATTGATGCAGGACGAATTAAAAAAAGAAAGAATAAGCAAGAAGAGAGGGAGAAACCGGAGAGAATGGGATGAGAAAACCGGAGAAGTAGAAATCAGGGGAAAGAGGAGGAGGAAGTCATAGGCAACAACCCAAGCATTCTATGGTTTAATTCATCAATTCATCAACTGTCTCAAATACGTAATAAAACAGAAATAAATAGCAAAACAAAAACCCTAAAGAGAAGGGTCTGGGCCAAACCCACTATACAAGCCCAATAACAGAAACATAAATAATAATTCAAATAGAATATAACTAATAGTCTAAATAGAAAATAAATAGTAAATGGATGTCCGCATCAACTCTTCCGGAGTGAGAGAAAAACTCGATCCCGTTGAGTGGATGAATCAAAATGTTGCAATGAATCTGATGCTAAAGGCTTCAAGTCATGCCATTGGGGACGATCTTTCTTGATGACCAAATACCGAAACTCCACAAATGATAATAAAGCTAGTTGCAGCTTATCCTCAAGAATATGATCCAACCAAGGAGGACGATCTTTCTTTGTAATCACATATCGATACTGAACTCCCAATAGTAAAAATTCATGCCCCTCATCTCCAAAATCTTCATCATTGGTTAATACAACATGTTTATCTAAAATAACATCAATTTCATCTCTGTGTGCTATGACGTGTTATTGGAGTGAAAATGGTAATATATTTAGGTTGGGGATCCACATAAGGAAGTAGAAAAGGATCATCAAGGAAATTAAAAAGGCCTTTGTAAGTAACTAAGTCCTCAGTATGTAAAGTAGAGTGGTGGCCAAAATGTGATAAAAATCAATGACGTGCATATGGGCCAACATACTTTAAAACTTTAAAAGTACCAGCACTACCGGCTTGCAATATAACATAATCCCCAATATTAAATTCAAAATATCGTTTATGCAAATTAGCTTGAGGTTTATATAATACATTGCTTGCGTCAAATTGCTTATTGATCTCAATATACAAGTCATGAAGATGATGCGCAAATGCTTCAGTTGACATCGACACACTAGCATGTGGGAACATGGGAATAAGGTTTAACGGCCGCCTAGACTTATAACTATGAATAGCTTTAAATGGATCCAGATCTGGAGACCGATTTATAGAATTGTTATACGCAATTTGAACAGTTGGAGGAATTAAGTCCCAATTCCTAAGATTTTTCTGGACTAGAGACTTGAATAAATTGCTAGGACTTTGGTTAACGACTTCATTTTGACCATCAGCCTGGGGTTGGTCTGTAGTGGAGAATTTCGATTTAGTGCTAACCATAGGCAACTGGGTTCTTTCAAAGATACTAGGGAAATCATGGGATACAGAATCTGGAGTCCCAAGAAGAGCCTATATGCCACCTACGGAGGTGTCCTCACTATCATCATCAAAATCTTCAAGTTTAGGGTCATATGCTAAATCTTCTAACGACTCTTCTATTGTATTCTTTCGTTCTTCTATGACTAAGGCTCGGTTAGGACATTTGGAAGAGATGTTGCCAAAGTCCTTACAGTTGATGCATAGCAAGTGAGAAGTCCTTGGAGTTTCAAAAATTATACTCTTATTTTCCAAAATGGGAGGAATATTAGACGGTGGAGGTCCTAGAAGGGACTTAATAGGAGGAAGTGGAGCCAATGAAACCGAAGGATGATTGTCATTACGCCTACATGAAGAAGACGACTTTGGGCTATCACGACCTTTACACTTGTTTTTCCAAAGGGAAGGAACACTAGACTGGGAAGACTCTATGATAGACTTATGATGAGATGACGCTAATGAGATAGGTGAACGATGGTGATCACGCTTTTCATATGCAATACTAATAATAAACTCATAATCTCGAGCTAAAGAATAAGCTTGAATAAGAGTGGTGACACTTTGAAAGAAAAGCTCACGCTTAAGATCATCTCTTAGACCTTGTGTAAATCTACTCAAATTCAAGGCCTTATCTTCAATGACATGACATGACATTTCATTCGAAATTCCTCAAATTGAGCAATATACTCAGTCACTAATTGATTTCCTTGTTTAAGGGCATTCCATTGAGTAAAAATTTCAAAATTATCTCGTTCTCGCTCACGAACCTGATCCCTATACCTACGATCGTGTCTAAAGCATTTTTTATCACCATGATGATGATGATAATGTCTATTATGGGACACTTTAGATTTATGGACGTCGGTTGAACGAGAGATTTGCTTAAAGTTGTTCAAATTAGTATATAGAGCCTTACTTTCTTCAAGAGTAGTAATTATCTGGATTTGGATAGCCGCTATTTGTCAGGTGAGTGCATCAAATTGTGAGGGGTCCATGTTTAAAGTAGTAAAGTGACAGGACGACCACTATGCAATTGTACGCAAAGCAACACTACCTAAATGAAATGCAATAGAGAGATCAATATGCAACAAGTACCAACAATTAAAAACAGCAATTTGAAATTCTCTCTCTTTTTGAACAAATTTTGGGGATACGGAATCCAACTATGCAAGCTAACAGTGCTGAGGTGTGTAAATAATAAAGCAAGGGTCCAATTGACTTGTCAAAATTTCCAATCACATAGGTAAATGGGGTAACAATGGCAAGTTAATTCAGTGACTGATTCTAGGCAAGTGAAGTTTGAGGCCAAAGTTATGAGAGCACAGTGACACAAAGACTTTAAATGATGCACTTTTAAAATAAAACAGTAGTATAAACTAATGAGAATTAGGAGATAGCGACTCCTTGTTGTTCAGTTGACTTAGGTGGCTGTAATGGTTCTTTGCAATTGGTGGAGGCAGTTGGCAAAGGAGACAATTAACTACTTGATTGATGAAGTCGGCTGTTGTCTGCAATCTTCAAGAAAGTTGTTGAACAATTGAATCCATTTGAAGTTGTTGAGCAATTAGGTCCTCAAGATTGGGCCGGTGGTGGGTCACCTACGAAGAGGCTACAGTCGGCGAAACGGCAGTGGTGATTAACCGGCAGAGACGCGGTGAGGGCTTGGCTCCTGAGGAATTGATGTGTGAATGTGTTTGGGAATGAATGGGTCTCTTTAATTGATGATGGGTGTGTGGGTTGCTGGCGAAATTGAAGAATGGCATATGGAATTAAATTGTAACAAGATGAAGTGGTGTAGTGGATTGTTGTCTATGTGAGGGGGATGACGTGATTTGTGAGATACCGGTGCTGGCAGTGGAGTTTTTGGATCGTGAGTAGGTATTCGGTAATTGAGCGGTGCTAGCGTTGAAGGTTCGGACGATTGGGTCGTCGGCGGGAGCAACGAGTTTTTGGAAATGGATTAGTGGGCTGGGTTTTGGTCGGGATGGATAGTTGGGAATTGGGCTTGTGTGATGGAGTTGGATCTGAGTTTGGGTTGTATTATGGAGATGGGCCGGATATGGTTAATTGGAGACTGTGTGGGTTAAATGGGCTAACCGAATTAAAGATTTGGCTAGTGGGCCTCGTGTTTGGGAAATGGTTTTGGGTTGTTTTATAGTTTTATATCTTTTGGAATGAAATAGATTAAGGAACAACAAAAATTAAATTTGTGATAAGTCAGACGAATAAACTTGAGACGGCAGCAGAATTTTTATTTATTTTTTATTTTTTGAAATTGACAAAATGCTAAACTGAAATTCTGGGCGTAACAGTACCCACAATGAACAGTAACTCTATTTTTTTAATTTTTTTTTCAACTAGGAAATAAAACTGTTATCTTCCAACAAATTCTTTTTTGTTTTCGCTGTTCAACAAGTTTTGGAAAAAAGGGAAAGAAGAAAACTTTGAATTGTAAGAGAAAAATACCTAAGATTTGACTTTGATACCAAATTTGATACAGGACGAATTAAAAAAAAGAAAGAATAAGCAAGAAGAGAGGGAGAAACCAGAAAGAATGGGATGAGAAAATCGGAGAAGAAGTAGAAATCAGGGGAAAGGGGAGAAGGAGGAAGCCATAGGCAACAACCCAAGCATTCTATTCTTTAATTCATCAATTTATCAACTGTCTCAAATACGTAACAAAACAGAAATAAATAGCAAAACAAAAACTCTGAAGAGAAGGGCTTGAGCCAAATCCACTATACAAGTCCAATAACAGAAACATAAATAATAATCCAAATAGAATATAACTAATAGTCCAAATAAAAAATAAATAGTAAATGGATGTCCGCATCAAAGATTCAAGTATGATTTGAATAATTCAAGAAACTTGCAACTTATGGTTGTGGTTTTCTTGATCCCTTCTGTAACACAGAAGAATTTACATAAAACTAAGAATTTAACTGATGTTAAGTTTAAACATTTTACCGTGTAGCGGCTATACAATGTTTGAAGAGGAAGAGGTTATATGAACAACAAATTGAGCAGCTTGGGAATTTTCAACTACGCATCCATGATCAGGTTAGCTTTCAATTCCCATTTGCATGATAATGCATAATGTTCAATGAATTAATGTATTTCTTAGACGACTTGAGTTCATATGTCAAACGTTCCATTGTTAGATGATACTATTAGAAGGTGCAAAAGCTACAACAGAAACCGTTGATGCTTTGAGATCTGGAGCAGCTGCAATGAAAGCAATGCAGAAAGCAACGTAAGTTGTTGATTTAAACTGTAGAAAATCAGGTCTCATGGAGTAAATCTGTTATTTTTCTGCTGTCACTGGGTAATGGGTGGAATACCTTACATTTTTTGTGCATTTAACTTGCAGGAATATTGACGATGTGGACAAGACAATGGATGAGATAAACGAACAGACAGAGAACATGAAGATGATTCAAGAAGCTTTGGCTACCCCTATTGGTGCAGCAGCTGACTTCGATGAGGTATATGTCTTATTTCTATTCTACTGACGAAGCTTTAGTTATATATTGGAGTTATTAAGGCCCATCCACTGCTTTATTTACTATTTCAAGTACTTGTACATATGTGCCTACATGTGAATCTTTATGGTGATTCCAGGATGAATTGGAGGCGGAGCTTGAAGAGTTGGAAGGTGCAGAATTGGAGGAACAACTTCTTCAGCCTGCAACCACAGCCCCTGCTGCTCCATTACAGGTTTCAGCAGGTGGAGCACCGGCTCGCCCTGCTTCTCATAAGCCTACAGCTGAGGAAGATGAACTTGCTGCTCTACAAGCAGAAATGGCCCTTTAAGCAACGTTTTTCTTTTTTATTTTACTGGTAAATTTGATGTCATTTCAACTGATTGTGAAATTTAAGAACCGGGATTTTCAACTGGTTGGAACACTCAATTTCCTACTATATTAAATGTATATTATTTGAGGCAATTGCTCAAAATTCCAGATTAGAAATTTGTATTGTCGTGTTTTGTTGCAGAATCAAAAGTGTGCTGGTATCTCCAGTTTTCTTCCATCCGGCACCTTCGTGGTTGGGTGGTCGCACTGGCGGACCCACAGTGGGTCCTGGTTGGTCACTTGACCCACCAACTTAATTTTTTTTTTTTTTAAAGAGAAATCAGATTTGAAGCTAAAGAACTCCTATCTGGAAAATTTGAAAAGTTTGAATGAAGTTTTAATTTTTTAAAGATTCATTCATCAAAAGCCGTGTGCCTCATTTTTCGGGAAATTATTTATTTATTATTATTATTATTTTTTGGTATTATCTTATGAAATGAAATTAGGGATCCATTTTAGTGCCCCAAATATGTTGTTTTGGCAATTTTATGGTAATGAATTCTTGTGATTTTTTCTTTGTTTGGACTGAAAGTGCATTTGATAATTTAAAATTTAGAATTGCTGTGATTTATGTATTATTCACTTGAACTAATTATGATGGAATATGTTTTTTTTTTAAATGATCACAATGTTAATGAAAGGAATATTCGAGATAAAAGTGATAAAAATAATGTTGGAGATAAAAAAGGATGGCAAACATAGTGGTATTTGTATAAACGTAAATCTGTATTTTTTGTAAGTTTAATTATGTTCCATTAACTCAAAATGTCTGCTATTGGGTGGTGGGGTGAAGCAATCGTGTGGTTCTATGTACAGCACGTGTAAGGTTGAATTTCTTTTATTTTTTGCCAACACCCAATAAAAAGTTGTCCTACAAAATTCTGCCAAACTTGTCTGTCGGAAGACTTGAAGCAATTGCATAAAAAGTTTGGTCATTTCCACAGGAAATATCAATTTTTGGGAAATGGACATTTAGAATTTCCCTCAATTTTTATGATGGTAGCACAGCGCAGACAATTGTACCAACTTTTTCCCCATCTTTAATCAGTTACAAGCAAAAATATCAGCTGTACGTAAAACTCAATAATGGGCCTATGGCTTTATATGAGAAAAATTTACACTAGTAGTATTCCATCTATTAGTTAATTGACAAATTAATCCTTAACCTTTAAAAAAGCGTACCTTTGCCCAACTGCTATAACTGCATACATAATTAGCGACATTACAAAAAGGGTTCATACTCCTTTTGATTAAGATACAAGGGATGTGTTTGATTCCAAGCATTAAATTTACATGATAAGAAAATAAACTTTAGGTAATTTGATTGTTTATAACTTCTTTGCATAAAAAATTATCAATTAAACGTATTTGATTTATTTATTTTCAACATAAAAAATATTATACTTATCAATTTTTTTATTAATGGGCAAATGAAAAAAGCGGAAAAACCTTAAAAAGTAAAAACTACTCTCTTGAAAGAAAATATTTTCCTTATTTTCAAGGAAAAAGTTAACATGTGACTAAAACTGGAAAAATATTTTTCAAGAAAAAATATCAATCAAATTAACTAAAAAAATAACATTTTTCGTGAAAAATATATCAAACGTACTCTCAATATAATTGTGAAATTGCAAATATTGAAGGTTAATTATTTATTAATGATAAAAAAATAAATTACAATAACAGGTAAAAACTTAAAAAGAAAAGAGAACAATGCACAAGATCTTGAACTTACAATCCTTTAATAGGCTTAAGTAAAATAAAAATTACATAAGCAGACGATTAAAAGGCGAAATATCTCATCAAACTTCAACAAATAAAAATACTCTTACAACTTATCAGAAGTTACTGAAAATAATATTTACAAACTAAGGCAATTGTATGCCATGAAACAACTATAAACATAGTCGAAATCCAGATTTCTAGAACATTAGTCCAGATTCAGAACAGACACTAGCCTTATAAAGTCGATTATGTTATGATCAAACGACATCCATTGTCTTAAGACTGATTAAGTAGTTAAAGAGAAAAATAAAGCGAAAAGTTGAGGACCGATTCATTAGTGAGGCCCAAAGGTAGGAACCATTTAGTTTAACATATCGGAAACCCAGTCGACGTCATGGTTCGGGACCTGAGCCTGGTTTGCGTTCAGACTCGGCCAGTTGCCCAATGGATTCTCCTTGCTCAATTTCTCGAACATCTGGTCCCTTAAATCCCTCCCTGACTCAATCCGCTCCATAGCTGGCTCCTCCTCGTACCCAACATCCTTTTCCCAGGGATCTGCGTATCCTAAACTAGCCCGTGTCAGAGACTTGGTAGGAGTCGTTGGCAGACTGAAGCATCCGGGTCGGGTTATTGGAAACCGGGGCGAACCTAGCCCAGAGGAAGAACACCCTACTTGCAGATTCCTAGAAGGTGGTATAGACTTCACTTTATTCAACTGCAGCTGACGCAAAGAAGCGATCATTTCGTTGATTGAATTGGAGCCCAGCGACCGGCTGAGGGAACTGATAGAGGTGGCGGTGGCAGAGGTCATCGGAGACATTGGCGGCGACTCAGTCGGTGGAGAACCCGAATCAGACGATGACATAAAAGCGAGTCGGTGTGGCGAGCCGTCGTACGACTCGGCTCGTGGACTCAGAACCCGAAGCTGATCAGTCGAGTGAGCAAAGAAACAAACCCTTCTCTTACAGTTAAGCCCATCTTTGCATGGCTGCGTACGATAGCGCGCAGGGTGAAGCCAGCACTCAAACACACCATGCGCGTATTCACACGCGTCACCCTTTCTACAATTCCCTTTACGAAACTCCGGGCACGCACTTCCGGAATAATGAAATTTCCGGGGGTCCCTCCGGCGAGCTTTCTCGCCAGGGTGAGCGTACGGGCACTCCGTCCAGTCATGTGACTTCCCAAGTGAGCATTTCCTTACCTTAAATTCAAACATCCTGAAATGATCACATGTGTACGCGTCCACCGTCAAATCTCCTTCCCTGATCGAGTTCGATGGCAAATAGCGTTGCAACGCCGTGAAAATAGAGCAGTCATCGGTGGCGCTGCCGCCGTTAATGTTCATATTAGGGCTAAGATTGTAAGAGGCCGGATCATCCGTGGTGAAGGACCATGGAATTGGAGGTACATGCACAGTCAGCCCATCTTGGTTTCTTTCTCCGATCATCATAGTTTGGTGGTGATGCCGAACTGGTTCAGGTTGCATATATACTGCTGGACTAATGAGATTTAACCATTGTTAGGTGAATTTAAACCCTGGTTAAGGGAGAAGGTGGTACGATAATCGTACGCGTGTAAATTGGATAAGGACACTAGATTTTGTATCTTTGCAGGACTGAGAATTTGTTTTTGTTGGGCCGTGAGGGATTTATGTGACGGGCATATCGGTTTAAGGAGTTGGTTTTAACTTGTGGTTTATTAACCGACTGGCTAAAGTTACGATAAGGCAGTAGAGTGTCAAACATGAAAGAAAAATGTCTCGTGTACACATAGTTTGTCGGCCTTCTAATTGGGATTGAGGACTAGATTATAATCGTGAGCCCCATTCCCTATTTGAGGGCTATTAACCATGATATACCCGAGAATGTACACTTAGCATTTTTCAATAAGAAAGAATTTAGAAGGCTACTATTATTTATAGGACTTGACAGAGCGTTAAAGAAACTTGTTGAGTCTTGTTTGATGGAAATTATAATCTAAATTTTTATCAAAATTAAAATCAATAATTAATTTTTATCCTATATTTCATGGAAAAAAATATTTCTTGTGCATAACTATTTACACTAATGTTTTACATAAAATGAGGTGTCAAAATGAAAGTGGATAAGTAGGGATGTCAATTGGGCTCGTCGACTCAAACCGCCCATGGCTCGGCTTGGAAAAAGCTCGAGCTTGCTCGATTCGAGGTTTAGTGAAACCGAGCAAAGGCTCGAGTCGAGCCCCATTTTGAGGTTCCGGTTAGCCCGAGCCGGCTCAAGCTCGAGCCTTATTTAAAAAAAAAAATAAACGAACGAAGAAAAGAAAAAAAAGTAAGGCAGTAGTGCCAATATAATTTAGAGAGAGAGAGAGAGAGATAGATGGCTCGGCTCGCTAAGGTCTAAGTCGAAAGCTCGGGTCGAACTTTTTTTTTTTTTTTTTTGCGGAGCTTTTGATCAACTCGGGCTCTAAAAAAGCTCGTTTGATTTTACTCAAGTCTTGAGTTCCGACTCGACTCGTTGATATCCCATAAACAAGTTATTTAATTAATGAGATTTTGATAAGTTAAATATCGTCATCTTATTTGTTGATAAATCATTATATAAGTTATTATGTACATGTAATTCAATCGATTTCAGAGCTTACAACTTTTTACCCATACATTTCATTAACTTTTATTAAATCATACTAAAGGCGTTATAGTACAAAAATCTGTATTACGAGCTTATTAAGAAATACATTTGAGTTTATCATCCTAAGTATTGATAAAAGCATTTTAATTGTTCAATTAACTATTGCTAGGCTTAGTGATCATTTCAATCATTTGGACGTTAATTGATTTTTAATTTTAAACATTTTCAGTCAATGTTGATGGTAAACATAGTGTTGACACATAAAAATTCAGTCCAAATCGAACAGCCCAGGGAATAAAACCCAATGGGAGGATCCCCAAATCAGATAGCCCAAAGAACGAAATCCAATTGAACGAATCAAGGTGAATGCCCAAATAAGGGGCCCAATAGTGCGGTAACGCCATCGTCCAAGTTTGCAAGTCGCTCAGAGTCTGAACGAATAGAGTGGCATACGATCGTCCAAAGTCTCGCCCAAATGTTCAAGTCGCTCAAGGTATCAACAAACATAACGCATTATGATGCAGTTATTGAGGCAGTTGCTAAAGTAACTTTATCACGTTCCATGACTCAAGGGGTTCAATCCAAAGCGGTTGAACGATGCAAGATAATGGCAGCAGTTAAAAGGACAGTTGCATGACAAAATGGCCACTACAAAGAAAGTGGGTAGTTATAGGGCGATCAAGCAGTTTTTTAGAGCAGTTAATCACAAAGGGATCGCCTATGAAGTATAAAAGAGAGAAAGAACTTAGAAGAAAGGACCGAACCCAAAACTCTCGAACAGAGAATATGTAATTTTCATTCCTTTAGCTTTTAGACTTAAACATTTCCTTTTCTGTAACTCGTGTGCTTGCGCCCCTTGGAGGCACGTTGTTTTCCGTTTCCAATTGTAAAGTTCATCGCCAATAAAAAGAACACCCCTTTTTGGGACTTTGTCTTAAGAGGTTTCGTCCCTTACACAATCGTCTGATCCTCTTTAATTGTTAGCGAATTAACCCGTGCGAAACAATTTGGCACGCCCAGTGGGACAGTGGTGTTAGGTGTTGAAAGTGCAAAAAGAGAAACAGTATGCCTCAGAGATCCGACAAGGAAGGAGCAAGTCAGGGAGGAATCCAGTCTGTAATCGAGCGATATGAGGAGCAACATGCCTCTCCACGAACAGATGGAAAAAATCAGAGCAGTAACAGTCGTTACGAACCAATGACGGAGCTGAGTCCTCGAACCATGCGTGCATTGCTTGGAGAACTCACACAAGACGTCGTTGAACAGGTAAATCTTCGAAGTATTCATAATATGGAAAGATTTACACAAAGTGGTAATGCACACTATGACAATATGGACAAACAACTAAAGACGTTGAATGAAACAATGAACAAGTTAGTGGGCCAAATATGTCAACCGGCTATACCTCTTGCAAGTCACTTTCAAACTAGGACGATCATAGGACATAATCCTTCGGTCCCAAATATAAGTCAAGGGGTAGAACCACTTGCTGGCCCCTCTACTTCAAACCAAGGAGGTGCCACAATACCAAATCAAAGTAGTAGTAGTGGTATGCCTAACTTGGGGGGTAATCCAAACGTGAGAGATAATGTTCGAAATAATGGACAGAATATTCCACGCGGTAACGAGGGAGTAGATGTCCAGGCTAATGGTAATGGCCCTAATTATGGTAATTTTGTTGCCAATCAAGGACCAAACATCAGACCTCATGCAAATCAACCGGTTAATCAGCCTGTAGGAATTTCGTATGATCCCAATGTCATGTTGAGGAATCAGATTATGGAAAT